TGATATGTAAAAAGGTTTTCAGACTGCACTCTTAGTAATTTTTTATTTTAAGAACCCAGCTATATTCTCTTTTTTCCCTGAAATTTACCAACTTGGATAAACACTGTTTGTTTGCATATTCTGAATTGAGTAAAAAGAAAGTTGCTCACATGTTTCGCATTGAGCGACGGAGTACGCAGTCGACTGCGAATCTACCCATTGCTGGTCACCATTACATGACAATGATGTGACACTTGTTCGCCCGGCTCCAGCTGTCATTGCTCCAGTGTCGCAGTAGCTTTCAGGGCATTGTCCTAGAAATTGGTACTTTATCAGGACAAAGGAAGAAGATGAACACATTTAAATTCTCAAAATACCTACCAGTATTCCTCGTCAACACCTGCGTGCATCTAAAGCCAATGGGACAAGTCATTCCTTGGTTGGTAAGAGGAGTACAACCAACGCATGCTAAAGATTACACACTTGTCGATTTGATAGGATACTTCATGAATTGTTATGTGAGCCGATAAGCCACAAATTTTAATGAATTAAATCTCACAAATTTCGCATTGAGCAACTGTGTAAGTGGTAGACTGCCCATCTATCCACTGCGCGTTAACATCACATGTCAAAACTGTTAGTGGTACCCTTGCAAGGTTGCCAGTAAGTGTACCTTCATTGCAACGAGTCTCGGAGCATTGACCTGCGATAGATTATATAAAGAGTGGAATTTGTAATGTCATATTTGGATTTGATTTGTACAAATACGATTTCTTTAAAGTTATAACATCCAATAAGTCCTAAGGAAGCCTGGTTAAGAACACTAGACCAAAACTTGCTACTTACGTCACATTTTACGGTCTAAACAAAAACAAGTTGCGGCATGGAACTTTTCAGGGAAATTATTGCAAAAAACACGTTGAATGCAAATTGCCATAGTAATGTACTAACACAATTACAAATAATTGAACTTCTTTGTTACTGGGACGCACACTATAATTTGAAGAACTTATCTCCGCAATAAACTGAGTGGGGGGGGGGTCTTCAAATTAATTATTAAACTAAAACTATTACCTTCACTTCTGACAGGCGCTTCGCACAAGAATCCCATCGGGCACGTCATTCCGGTATTTGTTAGAGTATCACAATTTGTGCAGGCTGAAAGTTTCGTGGTTGATAAGTGCCACATTGTCAAACCTCGGCGTTATGATATAGAATTTATCAAATAGTTTGTCTTGCAAGCAGGCTGCAACATACCCAACTCGCATTAGTTGCAAACCAATAATGACAGCCAACTGGATATATGTTTTCACGCGCCCTAGGAGCCAGCGCCGCCGGCTTATTTAAGAAATCGACAATGCATGTGTACAACTCACGTATTTCGCACTGAGCGACTGTATATGCATTCGATTGAGAATCTACCCACTGCTGGTTACCATTACATGACAGTGATGTAACAGCTGTACGTCCAGTTCCAGCTGTCATATCTCCAACTTCGCAGAAACTTTCAGGACATTGTCCTGAAATTCTAGTATTAGAGTCATCTAAGGAAGGAAAATCTGTTTTCTAAAAAGTTAGGGAGCCAGAAAGTTACCAGTATTTCGTGTCGACACCGTGGTACATGTAAAACCAGTGGGGCATGTCATTCCTGTGCGCGTTAGAGTAGAGCAAAGGTTGCATGCTAAAAGAGTAGTAGTATTAGCAAGAAAAACACTTGTCTAGGGGATACCCACGAATTTCGCACTGAGCAACTGTGTAAGAAGTAGACTGTCCGTCAATCCATTGTGCGTTAGCATTACATGTCAGAACTGTTAATACAGTTCGTTGAAGACCTCCTGTGAGTGTACCTACGTCGCAGAATGTCTCCGAGCACTGATCTATAAATTCTA